AGTTGAGTATATGTCTTGTAGAGATAACTCTTCTTCCCTAATTGATCTTTGGATTCAACACAATTCTAATCAAAATTCCATCAGGCTTTGTTAAATAAATTAGTAAGCTGATTCTACAATTTATAGGAAAATGCAAAGACCATAGATGAGGATAGAAACTCTTAAAGTAAATTAATAAGGGTAGAGTATTGCACTACTTTATTTCAAAAGAGTTACTGATATTAGTTATTCTGTTAATTAATCTGGTTGCACCATTGGCTATAATAATAAATTAATGAACCAGAGTAGAGAGTCTAAGACTTATCTAGGGTCAAGTGTTTTTCTAAAAAAATGTAAGACATTTCAAAGTAGAAAGTAAAAACTTTTCAAGAAATAGTACTGGGATAATTGTCATTTTATACTCAAAAGTTTATTTGAGGTAAATCATAGACAAAAAATACATATTTTTTGGAATCAAACATAAGAATATGTGTTCACAATCAAAGATAGTCAAATATGTTTTTAAAGTATACAAAAGTATTAACCATAAACGATAAGATTATTTGGTCCTCATTAAAATTAAAAATATTTTTATAAAAAGATGCCATTGATAAAATAAGTACAGAAGCCTTGGCTTGGAAAATACATTCTCAGCATATATATCTGGAAAGAACTTATACTCCAAATATCTAAGGAATTCCTACAAATCAACAATAAAAATATGAAGACTCAAATATTTTCACAGCAACAGACATTTTGCAAAAAAGAATAAACCAGTGGCCAATAATCACAAGAGAAAGTTCTCCAAGTCCTTAATAATCAAGGATATTCAAATAAAAATATGAGATGTGCTACCACTACACAGTCAACAGAATGATTCAGATTTAAAAGACTGGTAACACCCTGCATTTGTGAGAATAAAAAACAATTGTAATGTTGATTCTTTGCCAGGAATGTAAATGCAATGATCACTTTGGTAATTTCCTACAACATTAAACATTTAGCTACCCTGTATCCCATCAATCCCCCCACTGCAATATATTTATGCAAAGAAATCATCATCGTCATCATCAGAGCAACCTTATTCATAGGAGCCAAAATCTGGAAACAAGTTATCAAACAAGAATGAGGAAACATATTATAGTTTATTTAATTAGTACCATGAATATTATTTAGCAATGAAAAGATATGAAGTACTGAAAAAGGCAACAACATACATGAACCTCAAAAATTATTGATGAATAAAGAAATCATATAAAAGAATAGGTATTTTATGATTTATTAAGTTCTACAACAGTCACAATTAACATTTAGTGGTAGCATTCAGGCAAATGAGAATTTTTTGGTGATGATAATATTCTAGATCTTGTTTTGAATTTACATTGTATAAAGTCATTAATCTAATACTTAAGATCTGTGTTTTAAAATTATACCTTTAGAAGTACCAGAAAATAAAAAAATATAAAAAACAATATGTGCAAATATGTTCAACAGGAACATTGTGAATATAGTTAATGCCACTGAATTGTACACTTACAAATGGTAAAAATGAGCCCAGCTGGTTTGGCTCAGTGGTTGAGTGTTGACCTATGAACCAGGAGGTCATGGTTCGATGCCCAGTCAAGGCACATGCTGGGGTTGTGAGGCTTGATCTCCAATGGGGGGCGCGTAGGAAGCAGCCAATCAATGATTCTCTCTCATCATTGACATTTCTATCTCTCTCTTCCTCTCTGAAATCAATAAAATATATTTGTTAAATGGTAAAAATGACAAAGGTTGTTTTATGTATATCTGACTACAATTAACTATATATATTTTAATACCTATAACATATATGTTACAGCAAGTAGTCATGAATTTACCCAACAATGATACCAGCGGTCACAATGGAAAGTAATATTGAAGGATGAGGGCACAGGAAACTTTACCATTAGCATGAAAGCTTCACCTTTTACCAGTAAACATCCAATGTTCTCATTCATAGACTTGTTTTTGCCATAAGAAAAATGCAAAAATTATTATGTAATGAGCAACCCTTGATCTCTGCACCTTTCAAACTTTTCTATCTAGTAATAGTGAAATATTCCAACAGTAAACAAGTCTAAATCTGAGCCAAAAATCTTCCCCAATCTTCCATCCTGCCCATTCCCGTCCTCTGCCCTATCCCCTTCACCTGAGCTCACTTTACCCTCATTACCATGTCTACAAAGGAATCTCTGATTAAGTCATCTTACCTTGGAGAAATGTTTTACTAACAAGAGTTTTCTGGAGAAATGAAGGATTTGGAGAACTTCAAGACAGAACCAAAGTCCTTGCTTTTTATTCATGATTCTGGTGCTTCCCTGGACCTTTCAATTCTTCCATTGGTCCACACGCCTTCTAAAATAAAAACTTGCCTTATGCACTTTTTTCTGTCACCATTCTTTATTCTTTCCTTCCTCCTTTTCTCTTTTCCTCCTCCCCTTCCTCCTCCTCTCTTTTTTTCCTCCTATTCTTCCTCCCTGTTCTTGGTTTTGATTTTGAGGCTTGATTCCAGGAGGAGTAGCTGAGAAACACTTCTTTTTTTCTCCCATTTTTATTTTCTATTTATGTTTTATTGAATTTATTGGAGTGACCTTGGTCAACATGAACATATAGGTATCAGGTGTGGGTTTCTATGTTACAAGATCTGTATATTGCAGCACTGTGTACCCACCACCCAAAGTCAAATACTTCTCCCATCATCATATATTAGGACCCTCTTCCCACCCCC